CCCCAACTCTTTCCTACCTCCCCCTAGGAGAGGGCTGAGTCTGGGCGCACTCGTGACATCAGATGTGCTGTGCATCCTCTGCTGCGTGCATGTGCGGCAGGATGGGGATGGCGACAGGGTCCGGAAGGAGGACGGGCATGTTATGAATTTCTAAACCAGCAGCTGGCTAGCAGCACAGCCTGCTCCAGTCATGCTTATCAGCCGCCTTGTGCCCAGGCTGGCTGGCAGTGACACTGAGGGCTTGTCCCTGCGTGTTCCCAGCCTGGGGTGCAGCAGTGGGAATGGGGGCAAGCCCAGACTCTTTGGCTCACGTTTGAGAGCTGTATTGCACAGATACAAATGGGTCAGAGATGCACGTTTTGTGAAACAGTGTTGCAGAAATAATGATCTCATTTCTGCCATCTATAAATAAATTAAGGTGAAAGGGCACATTTCTTACTTCCAGCCCTCCAGAGGCTGGATTAAGATTGAAAGCTGGCTGGCCGACGGACAGAGATCTTTCAAATATTAATAGATTTTAAATTATAATTTCACTGTGGCATCTAAAGTATCACGTTGCAAAATATACCTCTGAGGAATCATAATATCAGTTATGTTGTTGTCTATGGTCAGTATAATTTTTCTGGCTGTTGAGGATGCCAAAGGGGAGGCGGTTTCCAAGGGAAATGTCTTACTTGCGTCTTTTGGGTTTTTCTTCTCACACGGTTAATGGTGTGAGTCAGGGTTTTTGAGGGCCCTATCTCAGCCGCTGAGGGCCCTCAAAGCCCCCTGTTTCTGCAGTGGGATCTTAAAATTGGTTGACATTTCTTCTTCTTCAGCTCTTAAAAAAAAAAAAACTAAAGCGTGCCTGAATGTGCTGCTTAGCTTTCAGCTGCTCACAATTTCAAAATCTATTGTTGGACAGCCATGGGCTGCTCTGGGCTCAGGGAGCGGTAAGCGAAACGCCGAGTGCAGCCAGCAGCCCTGGTTTTGCAGCCCAGTCCCGACAAGCACAGTCTGATACCACCTCTGTGCTTGAATTTTGGCACACCTGGTCAGTGAGTGCACACGTGTGATTCCTGTGTTGTGAAAACCCTCCCAGCAGCACGTTAGCTGCTGCTCTCCCCTTCCCATTTGAGCCCCTCTGCCTTGCGAAGGTTTTTGTGCCACAGCCCCCTGACATGCCCCCCCCCTCCCCCACCCCAGGTACCTCTTGCCAGCTCTCGCCCCGTCAGAGAGGTTGGCTCTGAGACCTGCTCTGCAAGAGATGCTGATCCTGGTGAACAGCCTCCTGTCTCCCTGGGTAACAATCCTAGCTGCTTTCACATTTCTGGGATTGCTTTTTTTTTTTTTTTTTTTTTGAGCTAAATGTAGTTTTTATGATCCCACACGCTGGAGCGTGTTGCTGCTGCTGTATCTTACGTGGGGCAAAAAAATCGATATATACACCTGAGTTGCACTGTTGGGTCTTCTCCAGCCTCCCTGGTGTGACCCACTGAGCTTGAAAGAGCAAAAATACTGATGCAGATTCAAACCTTGCTCTCAGTAATTTGTTGTCCCTTTGGCCAGCGGCCCTGGGGACCATCATCAACATGGTGTCCTCTGTAGCAACCTGCAGCCCTCTCCTGCCTTTTGATTCTGTTTGCAGGTGATGAAGCACCTGCTTGAATTTGGCACAAGGGAGGAATTAGGAGAGAGGTAGAGACATCTTAGTGTCTGTCCTTGGTCCATCCATCCCGTTGCCTGGGGTGGCTTGTCTCAGGGGGGGTCCTCCCAGGCAGGACGCGGTGGTTAGTGCCCGCAGCTCGGCTGCCAGCGTGGGAACTGGTGCTCCTGGTTTGGCATCCTGTGCCCTGCCAGATGTGCAGCCCGCTCTACCTTATCATTGCTGTGATCACACAGCGTTTATCAGACTTGCCTAATTGATGTTTGCAAGTTAATTTATGAGGTACTTGGAAATCCTTCCAAGAAGGCAGTAGCAATGCGTGGGGCCGTTTGCTGTGACTCTTGGTCACAGGGTGCCTCAAAGTGATGGATGAGCTGTGGTCTGAAGGCTTACAGCTGTTACCACAGGGCTTGCTTTTATTTTTAAGTTCACGATGTCTCTCTAGCTGGTAGTGAAGGACCACGCTGGCATCTAGGGCGATGCTGC